TTACTTTGGCCAGGTCCCATGTAATTTTATTGAGGACTTCAGGATTAAATGGAGTCCTGTAGCTCAGTGGTTAGAGCACTCAACTCGCAAGCAAGAGACCTGGGTTCAATTCCCAGCAGGGCGAAATATTCAGCAAGTTTCCTTACTCCACAAGCCTCTATTTATCTAGCAGTGAGTAGGAACCCAGTTGTTAGTCGATTGGCGGATCACTTTTCTGGGGGTAATAATTCCTTAAAAAATGTATAATAATAATAAATTGGTCACCTCAATCTATGACTGTTTGTGGGACACTGCTCTGCACAATTGGCTGCCGCGTTTCGCCCACAAAATAAACAGTCAATTCACTTTACAGTATATTCTGTGAAGTGCGTTGAGACGTCTCGAAGACGTGATAAGGCGCTATATGAAATGCAAGTATTAAATAAATGAGCTTTCAAAATCAAATGTTCAAGACTCATTAAACAAGTTCAAATCCTTTGTCATTTTAATCTTTCATTAAACAATAGTTGTTTTCAGTTTGTAAAATCCTGTTTATCTAATTAATATGAATGAAAAATAATTGACAGTGACAGATGGCACAAGTCCAGGGTAGAAATGTCAAAACTCTTCATAATTATGGCTGTTAATATTGTATTTGATGACTTTCACTGAAACCTCTTAAATAGGATTTTGGGGTTATGTGAACCTTTTTGTATTCAAAATGTATAAAACATTTCATATTTTCTTATTTTAACTGAATTTTCCAAGTTCACGTTTAAACAAACTATGAATTTATTATGTCAGTCTATTCAGCTTGAGGTTCTTACAGGTATAGATGTCGGATACCTTAATGCATAGGAAATAGACTGCAGTAACTGCTTTTTCACACAAAATTGTATTAAACCATAACCGCAAATGTTTTTGTACATTGTAGAGGTGATTGTACTGAGAAGAATGATGCATTCACTTTATTTATTATCAAATTAATTGCTAATGGCCTAAAGAACATGTAACCTTGAATGCAAATAATTTAAACATGTTGCACACATTCCTCTCAAACTATTGCTAAAATCTTAACAGAATTATGAAGTTCAATTTTGTTGTAAGCAAAACCAAACCAAACTTAAGCATATTATTCCTGTGTTAGCAGGTTTTCAATAAGCATAAAGAGTAGCATATGACTAGTTAAGTTCTACTGTATCAGTTAAATAACCCAAAACTTATTTTTTGTACCTTAACTGATACTATTAAAGCAATGAATATTTATTGTCAAACTAACATCTTGAAAGATAATCAAGAGTAAACATAGATGTGATTGACTTGTAATTTGTTTAAATAACTGCTATGCTAAAACTTTCTGAAAATAGTCGCAAATTGAGCATTACAAAGTAGAAGTCTAAACAAAGAATTTACCTAAAGGTAGAAATAAGTCCTTTTCTGTACTTCTAGGTCATCTAAACGTATCGCAGTTAGCAGTTTGTTAAATTACACAGACTACAAAGCACCATATGTAAGCAGTAGTGTATAGCCCAGTAGGAGCATTTCGTGGATATGCACTTCAATTAATCAATCCATTTTTGAATACTGGTGGTTAAAGTCCAATTACTACAATATATAACATCCCTTTAAAAAGCCCAAAATAGTAGACAAGCTATAAAATCCAGTTTATTTTTATTTGGCACTTTTTCTGTTTCAAAGTTGTTACTAACATATTTTTAAAGAATGTTACAGAGGTACTTTTTATCCTGCATTGGAATAGTAGAGCACAACTGAAGGTATCCTGTAACATTGCCTTTCAGTTATCTACATGTTAATTTCAAGTCAACTTTCATGTTCATTATAAACTAACCAATAATTTGTAGGTATGTAAAGTAATTTTGAAGCAATTCTATCAGTAAGTAATTACTGCAATAAAAATGAAATCATTTTCAGAGAAAGGTAATTGCAATTAAATTCAGAAATTCAAATGACTGAAAGTAATCTTTATTTAATACAGTAGGTTTCAATATAAGACATTGGAAACAAGGTTAGAAAAATGATTCTATAACTTTAATATCTCATAATGTAATGAAAGTGTTTATTTTATTTCATGTACCCAGCATTTCTTTATTTTTAAGGATAGGTTTGGCAGAGAACACTGACAGTGTAATCAGTTGGGAGTTTCATTACATTTGTAGACAGATAATTACCAGATACAGTATCTAGCAACATTAGGGTTTTGTATTTCGCTGGCAATGCAATACATTTGTTACACATTTTATTTTTATAGTTATTTACTCCTTTACTTCAGAATGACAGTGTATAGATTTCAGAGGCAATTTGAGTTACTGTCCTGCAATACAGAAATATAGCACTAATGAGATGAAAAAATGTAAAGGAGTTGATGAAACGATCATAGAAACTATTGTGTCTGCATCTTCTTATCATACAGCTGCTGTATTTTGAACAGGAATGATACAGCCTCTCTATGTCAGGCTTCTAAGCCTTTGTATAACCTGCTGTACGAGAAAACCCAGTAATGTTACAGCTATTGTTAGTTCAAGAAACTAAGAAGAGGGTTGAATGTTTATTTGGTAGTTGCTTCATTCTTTTTCCCTCGTTTTGCACATAGAAAAGTATGTATTCCTGTTCGGTTATAAAGGCAGGAAAATAAACCGAAATCGCAGTGTGTAAAATAACATCAATACCTAAACATACCTAGAAATAAACCTTCAAGATTAAAACATCAGCAAGCAAATAACTTCAAAGCAGACCGCTAATGTTAAAATACAAAATATAATAGAAAATAATACATCAAGTTCTGAATCAGATTTGAATTACTGTGGGTACACTCTACCCAAGCAAGTACAATCTGTAAGATCTTTCAGGAAATGTTATTTTACTAATTATTTGCTATGTTCTGAAGGAATTTATGAATTACAAAGGAAACATTGAAAATTCTGCCTTTTTGGAGGGGGAACAATTGATAACAATTGATAACTTTTTATTCATTGAGCATCTTAATAGTAATGTTGCCTTTTCAATAGTTACGTACATAAAACACTGGCCCCTCTTTAAAATAACTGTACAAGTAATAATTTGTTATCATTCAGTCAAGATTTAGCTCTAGATACCAAGCAAATGATGTTATGGATCCTACTGCCCTGCAGTAGTTTCTGTTCTGATTGTGAAACTTTCAGCAATGTCAGACTGACTCTACCAGTTTCCTAATCTGAGAGAAAATATTTTCTTAACTAAAGTAAAGGCAATATAAATGAAAAAAATTCAACAAGACACTGTTTATTGTTACTGAGGTTATGAGACCAAATTCAAAAAACAGAAAGTTCATTTTTTCCAATATATGTTGCAGAAAGAATAACAATAATTAAATGTGTATCTTGCCAAATTATATTTCTAAAAAAAATGGGTTTAATGAGAGAAGTAGCACATATAAATGAGAAATTATGATGTTTATTTCTGTTTTATGGTGTCTTCACAGTTTGTAAATTTAAAAGCTGTACTTCACTATTAGGCTACAGTTCTCTATTTATTTGATTTGTTCTCGCTTTCAGCATTAATTATGATATTTGTTTAGTTAATTTTTTACAAAGCTTTTACTTGAATGAAAGGATGTTGCTACATGGTAATGTATAATTTTCAGTCCTCTTAGGAATACCCAACACTGTTTACAGCTATTCATTTAAAAGTGTAATTGTGTAGTTGGCAAGCGGTCATGTTACCGTTTGAGTTTTCTCTGAGAGTAATTAAATCTTGAATATCTTACTAAATGCAATACTGTGACAATGTGTTAACAGTCCAACTACTTCTTAACGGCAGGGCAATTATTTGCTGAGTGGGAATTTTATAAATCCCGTGGCAGTTGTATGTCCTGATAATTATGATGAAGTACAGTGGTCAGTGTTGATTCAGCAATCCCATCTCCAGCAAATACTTCATTCACTGATCTCCTTCATGCTCTTCTTTACGGTCATTAAACTTCTTGTGCCTTTCCTTGCCATCCCCTGTGGCCCTAATTATAAAAGGCCTATATAAAAAACATCTAGATTGGGGAGGTAGCTGACTGATGGATTGATAGCTTTGCAAAAAGGGTCCAGAATTTAAATGTTATTCGATGGATGACTGGCCAACAAAAGGCACGTTTGCAGGTATGCCTGACCTGGTGCAATTAATATTCTAGTTCATGCATGAATTCTTATGATCAAGGGGGATTTAAACAGGCAAAACTGTGTCTCTTGCATAACTCATTTCCTTGTAATTTTTCATGACAACCCAGAATTTTACACTTAAAAATATCAGTGTTTTCACAGCTCATTTGCCCTATTGTATGATCAGTGCACTAGCCAGAAGTAGAACTTGATGTAGAGAGGTCAGTGGGAAGCTATTAACAGGCTCACTCTTGAGAATTCACCAGCTTTATTGAGTTCAGTTTTAGCTTGAACGTACAGTGTGAACTCAGGTGTGTGTTTTTTTTTAACCCAGATACCATAGATTTCCCTAAAGTCTTTGTCAGTTTAGAAAATTGCCAAAGAAAATGGATTCCCAGGCTACTTTGATGGCAAAGGGCTGCCGAAGTTTGTTACAAACTTGAATGGAAGAATGGCAAAATAAATGTTACTAACACATAAGCTTTTAACAAATGCTGATGTATAAATCTTGACAGACAACTATCATTTCTCAGGAATGAATGATTTGGATGCGAAGCATCATTTGGTATTCAGAATTTGTACAATGTTACTTTTTAAATCCAGAAAGAAAGTAGCATTTTTTATTGCTGGAGTACATGCAGCAGTTTATTGAGAAAAACAAAAGTATTGATATGAATAGTAAATAAATGTATTGAATTTTCTAGTTATTGTTGGTGTGAACTGTGCAATTTGTAAATGAAACTTTACATATTCTTATATTTAAATGTAATAAATGCAGTCATGTGAACAAATACACAGAGAGACATATCTGAATGCAAGTTTCATTTTTATGCAATGATTTCATTTGGATGAATTAATAAAACTTTTATTTTTCAGATTCCAGGTATCTACAACTCTCCATATAGAGCAGTGCCTGATAAAATGGAGGCGAGGTTACGACAGGTTAAACCATTGAATGAGATGAAATACCTGATAAAGGACACCCCTGAGGGCCTTGTGGACAAATCAGCACTGTGTGCTCCGTTCACTTTTCATTCAATACAGCCACTGCCACCCATAGGCAAAGGGAAACCACAGGTATGCTGTTTTATTGTACTGCAGTGCTGCTCCCCATTTTCATTGAGGGCAAGGTTACAGCACAATTATGGAAATTTTCTGGTAATATCAGCAATGTCTTTTGATAAATTATATTTGTATAAAATCGAATGAGATAGTTAAAAAGATAAGAGCTTTATTTAACAATACATAATTATGAGAATAGATAGATATAAATCAATTTCCATTGTGAAATGCATTTTTCATTGTGAAGTACATTTTAATTTTACGGTAACTCACATATCTTATTGATGTTAAACATGCTATAGTGTGTTCCATTAATCATAGCAGCAGATGGAAATAATTTAACATGACTAGTGATAGAAATCTTATTACATAAAAAATATAAAAAATATATAATGCACTTGGTTAAAAATAAGTTTACCCCATAGACAACATATTTTATTGCTCATGTTGATACATTTTCAGTACAGTTACTCAGTGTAAGTATTCTAAAGGAATGCCTTTTATATTCTTTCAAGGATATCCACAAACTACTTCCAATAAAGTGGTGTTAACTATCAATAAATATTAAGTTTCCTTTTATTCTTTTATGATGCAATGTGGATGTAGAAGGGAAACATAAGTATCTAAAAGCTAGGGATCTAATTGTAAACTTTCATGACTCTTAACAGAAAATCCTTTAGCCAAATCAGAAATTTTGCATCAATATTTTACAGTGTATATTTTATGGATAGATATTTCTTCTAAAAGCATGGATTGATGTTAGCCTGACTCAATTGGTAGCACACTTGCCTCTGAGTCAGAAAGATGTGTGTTTAAGCCTCAAATCAGGACTTTGAACTCACAATGTTTAGGCTGAGTGCTAGGGATGTGTTGTATTTTGGAAGTGCCATGCTTCAGATGAGATGTTAATCTGAGGTCCCATCTGCTTGTTCAAGTTAAAGATTTCATGGCACGATTCGAAAAGAGAAGGGGTTTCTCCTGATGTCCTGGTCAACAATCCCCCAAATAAAATTGTTCATTCACTTTATGGCTGTGCTCAAATTGGTTGCCACACTTACCTATAAAATAATTATATAATATAATAATAATCCTTGCATTTGATATAGCGCTTTTCACGTCTTCTAGACATCTCAAAGCACTTCACAGAATATACTGTAAAGTGAATTGACTGTATATTTGGGGGCGAAACGCGGCAGCCAATTGCGCACAGCAATGTCCCACAAACAGTCGTGGATTGAAAATGACCAATTTTTTTTTTTGGAGGGATTATTATTGGGCATGTGGAGTAAGGAAACTTTCCCAAAGTTTTGCCCTGTCTTGAATTGAACTCAGGTCTCTCGCTTGCAAAGCGACTGCTCTAACCACTGAGCTATAGGACTCTAGTCACTACACTGGATAGTAAATCCTATGAGCTGCTTTGAGATGTTCTCTTGGCCCGAAAGATACTATATCAAATGTAAAGATTATTAGTCATAGGATTTGTTTTAGGGAATAACTAAAATTATTTGCAATCAATGTATTATTCACAACTAACATGAAACTTATGCTGCTGCAAACATTTTTCTTGCAGTACATAGTTAACACAATTATTAGCTGACAATAGAAAATGTCATTAGTTTGTCATTTTTATGCCTTGACTGTAACTCTTGTGGTGCAGTGCCTTTTTAACAGATGGATTCAGCTTTTACCACTTCAATCCTTAAAACGTTGTAATGTCAGCTCCTACAATTTGCATCGAGTTTAGTATCAATTCAGTTTAACAATGCAGGAGTTCCTGCACTTCACTCCAATGTTTATTACTCCGAGAGAATACATATATGGAAGCTACAAAATTGAGCCCTAATGAATACAATGTTTATTGAATTGAATCGCCTAAATAAAGCAGAGGTACTAAATGTGATTGTGTTATAGTTGACTACGTGCTTCATATAAAGATATAAATTTTGATGATTAGGATAGGCCAGAAACATCTAAATATGTTATGTCTTCTACTCTTTTATAAAGGTAGCTTTGGTTGTTTAGGATATTCTGTGACACATGGATCATGGGGAAATTGCTGCTATTGATTAAACGTTCATGGAAAATAGTTCCATAAATATCCTATTGTTGCCTAAAAAAAGTCACTACACTTTGCATCACACACTGTGAAACACTTTGGTGTCCTTCTGAAGTGAAACATTCTGTATCAAATGCAACTCTAATAATAGTTATTATTATAATATATAATGGTAGTTACCTCTTGGGCCGAGTGATACTGTACATGGTATAAAAGCAGTTTAACACAATTTATTTTGCTAATTAGTAAAAGCAAAGAAACATTTTTGCCATTCATGTAAACATTTACAAAATTAATTGAACTGTTGAACATTTTGTCTGGGTTATCACTGTATACAATATGTGAATACACTAGATGATTCCACATACGCAGTAGTGTAACATCTGACCTATAATTTAGTATCTCTGAAATTTCCTAGTGATATGTTTAACATTGGCCTGAAGAAACAATGAGACTGATTTTCCAAAGGGTAAACGATTGAAAAGTCAGTTACAATTTGCAAATTTATCATAAATCAATCTTGCAATCCAATTGTTTTGTCTGAGTGTTATTTTTAAACAGAGATGCAAGGCTGTAAGGGGGTTGCAGAATTTTTAAGAGAACAAGCAGGTGCCTAACCCCCAGATTTTAGGTTTCTTGCATATTTTTTCTGACAGTCGAAACCAATCTGAAGAGACGATCACTGTGACAAAAAACGTGATGTTGCAATGTCCTACCTAAGCAGTCATGTCTATCTTCCAGGGAGACTAGCTGGTGGTCAGGTTATCTATATGAGTGGGGGGGAGGGAGCACATGATAGGGTGAGAGAGAGAGAAAGATAGACAAAGTACAATGTCGGCATATATTAAGTTTTACTTAATACCTAATTCAGTTCCACAGCTATTACTTCCAAAACTCTTACCCAAATTCATATATTTTCTGAATTCCTGAGAATCTGTGCAAAATAGTGTGGCTGATGTGGAGCAACAGCACTCGGATCATTAACACTCACCCTGCTTTGGATTGTGCTACATAGAAGTGACTGGATGAAAGTTATTACAAGACCATTGAAAAAACTAACACACTGTATTATAATAATAACAATACTTGCATTTGATGTAGCGCCTGATCATGTTGTTGAGACGTCTCAAAGCGCTTCACAGAATATATTTGGAAAGTATTGATTGTGTATTTTGTGGGCGAAACTGTTGTAAAGAGAATTAACTTTTTAAAACTTCCCAAAACTTCTCATGTCCTCAAGGTACTGTAAAAAGTGATGTCACAACAAACTGATTTTTGATAAATTTGCAGGATTTAGATTTACTGCAAACCTTTTGAGCCTGGCACTGGTGGATTGAGTTAGCACAATATGGGGGGGTCAGGTCAGACTGGGAGCATCGCCAGGAGCAGGTTGAGCTGAGAAGATAGCTGATATGATGTCAATCTGGAAGTGTAGAGTTGCCAGGATGGAGTTGGTTATATCGCCAGACTGAATTGGGTTACATTGGGAGTGCAGAGCAGCCAGAAGCAAGATGGGGTGGGAAAAGAGCCAAGATTGGTTTGGGCTAGGAGTGTATCCAGGAGCAGATCATGTAGGGCGTTTGGCTGATATTGGGTTGGGCTGGGCTGGGAGTAATCTTGCCAGGAGCAGTGAAGGCTGGAAGGATAGTTGAAATTCAATCAAACAGTGAGTGTAGAGTAGCCAGGATCAGGATGTAGCCTGGATTGGGTATGGTTGGGAGCAAGGCCAGGAATGGGTTGTGCTAGGACTGTAGCCAGAGATGTATTGGGGATGGGAGAGAGCCAGGAATCGGTTGGGAGTGAATTTTGATTTACATGACTTTCATTTGTAGCCCCAGGCAGTGCAAAATACTTCATGTGCACTATTAATTGGTCATGTGATGATATCTATTTGCCATTTGTGTTATTTACAGTCACTGATTTTTAATGGTAACTGACTCCAATTATGGGTTTCTATTAATGTAAAACAGAAGTGAACATAAATGAGCCATGAATCATTTCTTTTTATTAGTCCCTGTGTTTCTTCACTGTGCGCTTGTTGCAACTCCAGCTGTGATGGGTTACTGATCAGCTCACCCATTGAATTATTGAGTTCTAAACTACATGGGTGCACGTAGCCTTGAGAATCAAATAACACGCTTTATGTTTTTCTAAGGAATGCTCCAAATCAATTTAACTCCTTCTAGTGTGTTTCAGCTACTTAAATATTCTTCCATTATGTGTTTTTTTATCATTAAGAAGACATAAAGATGGTTAAAGGCATATTCAATTTACACATCTAAACCATTCAAACATGTAATGACGTAATTATGTTACGAGCTGTTACGGCCTCTGATTGTAGCAGCAGTGCTGTTAAGCAGTGCTGCTGCCTCCGGTAACACCAAGATCTGTCTGAAGTTGTTTCCCAAATTTAATGAAAATAAGTGTATATACTATAGTTTAAATTAGACAAGCAAAATAAAACAATGGTATATTATTATATTTAATCACTCAATATTCTGATTTTCCAAATATAAGAGCATGTTGGATATATGGAAATGTTCTGCTCAGAAGCGGGGGGCTTCTCCCGTTATGTCTATGCCATTACTACCCATTTTGGGAAATTGCCTTTTTTGCTTTTTATCCCACTTTCCAATTTTGTCGCAGGTTAGTCCAAAATTTGTATTTAGTGCCTCTGAAATGTTTTTAGTCCTCAAGTGCTTATCCAGCCAGTTCAATGATTCCATTGACCAGCCACAACAGATTCTGTAGATATCATCAAATTCATTAACTCAATGTTGGAGGGTTGATTGAACTATGAAAAGCTGCTCGATAAGGTATGGCATGTCCATCAAAACAATTCACATTTATTTAGCACCTTCATGTTGGGAGGATGTCCCAAAGTGCTTCACACAGCTGACTAAGACCCTATGTTGGGGGGTGAGGGGGTTGATTGTTGGAGGGAGAGAAAGATGTCCAAGAGTACAGTTGTAAAGATAAATCTTAAGGTAGATTTTGAAGGTGTGGAGGGAAGGGGCAAAGTGGAAGGACTCCGGGATAGAGGGGCGGCAGATTGGCTGGAGGCTCGCTCACCCAAAATTTTAATTCCAGCATTGGAAATACAAGTTTTGCATAATGGGAAGGTAAACAAGATACACAAGAACAACAACTTGCATTTATATAGCACCCTTCACTCTGATAGCATCTCAAGATTTACAAAGAATCTGCAGCAAAAACACCAGCATGTTTTAGGCCACTCAGCCCAAGCAGTCCATGGTGGTGTTTTTACTGTGCATGAGCCTTCACCCATTCCTTATTTCCTCCCTTTGCTTACTCCTATTCTCCTCTCCCTCATGTGAAGGTCTAGCTTCCACTTGAATACATCTCATAGGGATAAAGTAAACTCGGAAAACTTACTAGAAAGAATTTATAGACAAGGTAATCAATAGATAGAATGGTTACCAGAACAGATAGAGTTGAGGCCAGGACAATGGGCTCATTTGAGAATTGTTTTAATGCCGTAATGGAAAGAATGATCAGGCTGGTAATAATAATAATAATAATCCTTGCATTTGTTATGGTGCTTTTCACATCTTCTAGGCATCTCAAAGCACTTCACAGAATATATTGTAAAGTGAATTGACTGTATATTTGTGGGCGAATGTGTATATGTGAAAAGATGACATCAAATTTGCTGTGCCTTATTTATCTAAACCTGTCCTGTGATCTTGGTGAACTTAAGAGCGAAAGGAATTTCACCCATAAAAAATCTGATTTCTATGCCCAATTTTTAGAAATCCAGTGCTGGATTTGGGAAGTCAAAGTTGAATCAAAGCTGGTATCCAGTACTAATAATATTATGACTGGTTTACTCAGTAAAGAACACGTCACTTATAAATTTCGTCTTTTATGTTGCCGGGGTTTTCCTTGGTTTATTTTGTATCGTTCTTTTCATTGACACAATGCACATTTCCGTACAGAACTCATTACCTAAATATTTTGGAAGTCTTTTCTAACAGGCAAATTTTTGCAAACAACCGGCAGGGCAAAATGTTGGTCAAGTTTCCTTACTCCACCTCTGTTTACCTAGCAGTAAGTAGGAACCCGGTTGTTAGTCGATTGACGAATTGCTTTTCCGGGGGCTAATAATTCCTTCAAAAAAAAAAAAAAAATTGGTCACTTCAATCCACAGCTGTTTGTGGGACACTGCTGTGCACAATTGGTTGCTGTGTTTCACCCACAAAATATACAGTCAATTCACTTCACAGTATATTCTGTGAAGCGCTTTGCAACGTCACAAAGATGTGATAATCAAATGCAAGGATTATTAGTATTAGTTATATAAATAGCACCCTACATGTAAAATAATGTCCTGAAATGCCATGCAAATCTTTGCCCTGAAATAATGAAAAGATGAACAGTGTAAATATTTTGATGAGAAACCAGGTCTGATTGGAGACACTGTACAGTGACTCACTGAGACTGTTAATCAAGCCAACCAGTCTTCAGTTTGCCACAGTAGTTATTAAAGAATAGAGAAGGATTATTCTTAAATCAGAACCATGAAAGCTAATGCAAATACATAAAGAATTAATCTGAACTAAGTTTAGGATAGTATATAGAGATTAATTTAAATAGACAGCGTATTGCCATTAGATGTTATAATAGTGTTAACATTTACGCACAATCCAGCATATTAAAGAATGATAATGTGAGCTAAAAGCAAGATAAATGTGCACCTTTGGTTTTGTTACAACCAGTGGATTAGTTGTTTTCGATTTGCGAAATGTTAATACTATCTGAGCCAAACTATACTTTTATTCAGAACAATTTACAGACTGTAGTGGTTTTTGTGTAATGCAGCTCTCTCAGAAAGAATATGTTTTACGTGGACGTTTTCAGAAAAAGCTTTAAATAATCTGTGATCTTAAATTCTGTAATGATTGAGTATTATTGGAAATACAGTGCAAGCCATTTACAACAGCAACAACAACACAACAACTTGGATTTATATAGCGCCCTCCACGCCAGATGGCGTCTCAGAGCGCTTCATAATAACGGATCCCAGGGCTGAGCCAGGGGGAGGGGGAGGAGGGTGACCAAAGGTCTTTAGCCAAGACCTGAAAATAGGAAGAGAGGAGGTGAGGCGAAGGGAGTGAGGAAGGGAGTTCCAGAGCCTCTGGGCGTAATGGCTGAAGGCACGGCTGCCAAGGGTGGAGCGGAGGATTTAGGGGACGAGGAGGCCAGTCCCGGTGGAGCGAAGGCAACGGGCACTGTTGTGAGGAGAGAGGAGGTCAGAGAGGTACGGTGGTGGAGAGAAGTGGAGGGATTTGAAAATAAGAGTGAGGATCTTGAAGTCGATCCTCTCTGGGATAGGCAGCCAGTGCAGTCTGGCAAGGACTGGGGCAATCGGGGAGCGGAGTTTGGTGCAGGTAAGAATGCAGGTGTCAGAATTCTGAATTTTGTGGATCGTAGTGGAGGGGAGGCCGGCGAGGAGGGCATTTGAATAGTCCAGCCGATTGGTGACAAAGGCATGGACCAGGGTTTCAGTGGCTTTTGGGGTGAGATATTGGTGGAGACGGGCGATCCTTCAGAGGTGGAAGAAAGCAGTGCTGGTGAGGGACCGGATGTGGGGGAGGAAGGATAATTGGGGGTCGAACCTGATGCCAAGGTTGCGTACGGGTTCGGAGAGTTTTAGGGGGAGGTCGGGTAGGTGGAGGTGGTGAGAACCGTGCGATTTATGATGTTGATGAGAGCCAAAGAGTGTGGCTTCGGTCTTGTCAACATTTGGCTGAAGGAAATTTGCGCTCATCCAGCTCCTAATGTCTGACAGGCAGGCTGACAGAACATCAGGGGACTGGGGGTCGCAAAGTGAGGTGGAAAAATAGAGTTGGGTGTCATCCGCATACACGTAGAAGTATACCCATGTCTGCGGATGACATCCCCAACCGGGAGCATATAGATTAGGAAAAGGAGGGGGCCAAGGATGGATCCTTGGGGTGCCCCATGGGTGAAAGCGGGAGGAAAAGCCATTTGTAGAGACGTACTGCTGGCGGTTCGTGAGGTAGTATTCGAACCAGGCGAGTGCGGTCCTACTGAGGTGGATGATGGAGGAAAGGTGGTGGAGGAGGATGGCGTGATCGACTGTGTTGAAAGCGGTGAGAGGTCCAGAAGGACAAGGAGGCAGAGGGAGCCCTGGTCACAGATAGAGAGGATGTTGTTTGAGACTTTCACAAGCGCAGTCTCTGTACTGTGGGCAGGGCAGAAGCTGGACTGGAAGAGTTCAAAGAGGGAGTGGGAGGAGAGGTGTGCGAGGAGTTGATTGGCAACAACGCATTCTAGGACTTTGGCAACTTAAGATGGACACTGTAGTTTCAAACCACAATACCTGACACATTTATTTTCTCTATCATTCTCTCTCCCACTTCTTGGCTCTCACCATTTTAAAGTCATAGTTTCATTCAGCTGTCAATGCTGTCAATTCAAGCAAGACCAGTTGGGATGTTATCTATTTTCCCCAATCTCTGCAGGTTCCTTTCCTTCCCCGTCCACCCCCCACTTCCCATTGACCATAAAAAGAACATCGCTGGTGACTTGGCCACTAACAAAATTGAACAACTAAAGTATACAAGGTAAAATGAGATCAGAAATTCAAACAATTCAGACTCAGAGTTCAGGTGTTCAACTGCTTGAGTTCTTCACATCTGTAGTTTGTTTAAACATATGACGTTACAAGTGACAGTTCAAGATAGTCTTGGATCAACATTATGGCTGCTGTAACAAAGATTTGAATTTGCCAGCCTCAGATTGGTTCATTTAGTCAGTTCTCTGGGGGATATGTGGTGTGTCCTCTTTGTATAGTGCCATACTATACTGTTGGCTGATTATCAGGTAGCATTGTTGGTCATTGTGAAGATGTCCTCAGGCTCAATTGTCCCATCCTGTCAAGTAGAAAGATGTTGGTGGTAAAACACACTTAAAAAGAGGAGATATTTAGATATTTTTGGAGCAGGAATTAGAATGTGAATAATTGCAGATTAATATGAAGAGGCCATATCCACTCTACACTTCAACAATATTTTGCAAAGAATTCTTCAACTCAATATAATATTGATTAACAGTTTCAAAATCAAACTTTTATACATTTTTGAATTCCCATCTATCAACAAAATGTTATCAACTTTCATATTCTTTGTAACTGTATATCGAAAGGTATTACTTTTATAAATAATTTACAATAGAGGAGCTAGCAGCACTTACACAGACGCTCGGGTTCCTCAGTCATCAATAATGTGTCAAAAAACACAACAATAAAACATTTACCTTATCCTGTACCTGTCAGGGTCCTTTCCGTGATGTTGTTGAAGTATTGCAACAGCGCTACAAGCCTTTGGATCCAACCTTGCGGTCGGCAACATCAATCATATCAGAGGCGGAGTGCAGAGAAGAATTGAAGAAAGAAGAATGGAGAAATCGTGTGAATGACAATATGTAAGTCACTATCTTTAACACCTTCTGTACCAATTTGGTTTCATGCAATCTGGAAATGATTCTACCACTCAAAAGGGAATTTGCTATTAATCTGGTAAAGGGTAATGCAGTACTGCAATTTAATATAATTTTAAATTGCATACTATTGCTCACTTTTTACGTTCAGTAATTACACATAGGACAATACAGAATCTAGAATGTGTTACAAGGTAGCAACACATCTATTGAAACTCAAGCAGTGTTTTTTTAAGGGTTATCTTTGCTCAAAGGTATGTTACTTACATGGAACAAACACTAGAGTATATTTTTATTCAGAATCTATACAGACAAAATTATTGAATATTGTTTCCTGGTTTCAGTGTGTTTATGATAATATTCATCTGTTTTTGTAATTGAAAAGGAAAGGCGCCTGCATTTGTGTGCTTTTTGGCTTGAAAAAGAGTTATGTTGGAATTTTTTTTAACAGGACAGTTTAGATGATGTGTCAGCCTGGCGCAATGGTAGCACTCTTGTCTCTGAGTCAGAAGATTGTGGGTTGAAGCCCCACGTCTGGACTTGGAATCATAATCTAAGATGACACTCCAGTGCAGTGCTGGGGGGGTTGTTGCATTGTTGGAGGTGCCGTCTTTTGAATGAATCGGTAAGCAGAAGTCCCATCTAGCTGTTCAGGATCCCATGGCACTATCCTGGCGATCTGGCTAACAAATCCCCCAAATAAAATTAGTCACTCACTCCATGGCTGGCTGTGGGACATTGCTGAACACAAATTGGCTGCTACATTTTGCCCACAAAATATACAATCGTATAACACTTTAACATATATCCTGTGAAGTGCTTTGAGAAGTCTCGACGACATGATAAGGCGCTATGCCAAATGCAAGGATTATTCTTAACTTGGTTTGTATTTATTGTTGGATTAAGGATTACAGTGTTAGGGGATTTGCCAAAACTTGGAACGTATAAAATCAATTTGGTGCATCAAGCCCACTTCTTCCACATATCACAGAAACCCTACTCTATTGAATGTAATTGCACCTCCTGGAGAAAAATCCTGCTCAGCTAACAATCATTTGACTGGAAAGGGTAATGATATGAAGGAATTCACTCCTACAATTCTACTGACCATCGAAGTCTCCCTTTTTTCATACACCCAGAATTTGTACGGACAGCAGCTACAGCATCCCGTCTACAGACAGAAACTGTGATAGTTAACAACTGTAAGATAAAGTTGGAATTAAATATGCAGTTGTTCCAACCAATAAAAATACAGTATAATCTAAAAACAAAAGACTCACTGAAATGTGTATTAATTTTGTAAACGTGGAGACAACACAGTTATTTTGTGTATTTAAAATCAATAGGATCTAACAGAATCAAGCATTTTCCTTGATGTTTGGTTTAGCATAAAGTGCCTTGTATTGGAAAATAACATACTGGAGAAGTCATAATTTTGCAGATTGAACATAGTGGGTTATGGTATCTTTAATTTCCCCATCCTCTGTCACCAAACTCATCCTCTCCCTGAAACCTACCACCTGCTCCCTTGACCCCATCCCCACTCTACTCCTTATCTCCCAGCTCCACCTCCTTGCCCCACATATCACAGACATTGTCAACCTGTCCCTCTCCTCCGGCTCTATTCCCATTCCCTTAAAAACTGCCACCATCACTCCCACCTCAAATCTGTCTGGACCTCCTCAAAATCTACCGCTCCACTCTAGCCTCGGCCAAATCGTCCTTCTACTCCAGGATAATCCTGGAGGCGAAGGACAACCCCAGGCTACTGTTCTCTACCACATCCCAACTCCTCTGTCCCCCCGCCACCCCGCGCAGGTCATCTCCTCCAACCTTCACTGCGAGGAGATGCTGGATTTCCTTGAATCCAAGATCAAGGGAATCCGCTCCGCAGTCACTTCCCCTCCAACATCCACCCACCACCCACCCCTTCCCTCCCACACTCCGACTCCTACACACATATCACAGACATCATCAACCTGTCCCTCTCCTCTGGCTCTATTCCCATTCCCTTAAAAACTGCCACCATCACTCCCACCTTAAAAAAACCCTCCCTTGATGCATCGCAGCTATCAAGCTACCGGCCCATCTCCAACCTATCCCTTCCTATCCAAGGTCCTGGAACGAGTTGTCGCCTCCCAGCTGCGCTCTTTCCTCTCCAACCACTCACTATTCGAACCCCTTCAGTCGCGTTTCCGTGCTGCCCATAGCACAGAAACTGCCCTGGTCAAGGTCACCAATGACATCCTGACCATCTGTGACCAGGGCTCCCTCTGCCTCCTCGTCCTCCTCGACCTATCGGCAGCATTCGATACGGTCGACCATGCTATCCTCCTCCACCGCTTGTCCTCCCACCTAAACCTTCAAGGCCCTGTCCTTGAGTGGTTTAGGTCGTACCTCTCCCACCGTCTTCACTTTGTCTCCACAAATGTTTTTTCCTCCGGCCCCCGCACTGTCTCGTGCGGTGTCCCTCAAGGCTCTGTCCTCGGTCCCCTCCTCTTCACCCTCTATATGCTCCCCCTCGGTGACATCATCCGCAGACATGGGGTTAACTTCCACATGTATGCGGATGACACCCAACTCTACCTTTCCTCCTCTACCCTCAACTCCACGACCACCGATGTCCTGACAGCCTGCCTGTCCGACATCGAGTCCTGGACGAGAGATAACTTTCTTCAGCTCAACGTGCGCAAAACTGAGGCCCTCCTGATTGGCTCGCGTCAGCGCCTCCGCACCTCAGGCGCTGACAGCATCAGCATCCAAGGCTGCACTCTCCACCTCTCAAAGCCAGTCAGGAACCTCGGGGTTCTGTTCGACCCTGAGCTGTCCTTTCTCCCCCATATCCGCGCCACAACTGGCACCGCCTTCCATCACCTCCGGAATGTCGTCAGCCTACGGCACTACCTCACCCCTCACGCTGCTGAAACTCTGGTCCACGCCTTTATCACCTCAAGGCTGGACTATGGGAACTCTCTCCTCGTCGGCCTTCCCGGCACCTCCCTCCACAAGCTGCAGGTCATTCAGAACTCTGCAGCTCGTGTACTGTCCCGCACCAGGCTTCGCGACCACATCACTCCCACCCTCGCTCGCCTCCACTGGCTCCCCATCCCCCAGAGGATTGAATTCAAGATCCTCACCTACAAGGCCATTCACGGCCTCGCTCCCTCCTACCTCTCTGACCTACTATCCCCCTACTTACCTGCCCGTACCCTCCGTTCCTCTGGCTCCGGTCTGCTCCACATCCCCCGCCCCAACCGCCCTACTATCGGTGGTCGGGCCTTCAGCCTCTCAGCCCCCAGGCTCTGGAACTCTATCCCCCAGTGCCTTCGCCGCCTCCTCCCTTTCCTCCTTCAAGGCCGGTCTCAAGACCTTTCTCTTTGACCGTGCCTTTAGCTCCCCTCTCGACTCTCTACCCCCTCCTCGCTCCCTCCCTTCCCTCCCCTCACCCTGACCATTTCCCCCCTCCTCGCTCCCTCCCTTCCCTCCCCTCACCCTGACCATTTCCCTCCTCCTCGCTCCCTCCCTTCCCTCCCCTCACCCTGACCATTTCCCCCCTGCTCGGGTCCTGACCCAACTGTACAGCGCCTTGGGACGTCCTCCCGACGTGAAAGGCGCTCAATAAATGGAATCTTGTTGTTGTTGTTGTTGTTGTTTAGAAGTTGTGCAAAATTCATGTCATAATGAGGAAAATATTTTAGTGAGACGTAGTATGTTTTATTGATAATAGAAATGCAAGTATAGATTTTAAAAGTCAAGAATCTGGCATACTAAAGACTATCACAGCTAAAAGTTACACACTTATTTTATAGACTGGACTTCCTGAGGACCTTGTGTAAGGATCTTTTAAAATACGTATAAAAAAGGTGACACATATATGGGAACAAAATTGAATAAACCATATATGAGAAACAAGAGTTCTGTCCATCATATCCATCAGCAAGATGGTGACAGCATTTTAACCTATTTTTAATATAATAGTGAGAGAGTGGCCAGGGGACCTAATTCTATTACAAATCAATACATTGACTGTCAAATCTTGTGTTAAAATAAATCACAGAGTCCCTAAATCAAGCCATGACTCTCTTTATCATCTTACAGTACAGTATGTGATAGTTCTAGTCAACTGAAGCAACTAGGTGTTTTTTGACAAAATAAATGTTTTAGCCAATAGGCAGTTGTCAGAGTGTAAATATTTTGATAAATTCTGATGGATAATAAAATGTAATAGCAATCCAGTGCAGAGCAGCTAATAATGGAGCTATAGAGGCTGGGGAGGAGGAACTAGCTGGGGGAACACTCTCTGCAGGGTCAAGGGATCACCCAGAAAAAGGACCTTTTTGGCTAATCTGGGGCAGAGGTCACAGAGCAGCCAGCAAGGAGACCTCGGATGTTGATCTAGATCAAAGAGCAAGAGGTTGTCTGAAGACTGATTTGTGAAAGAGAAGCCACTAGGAAGACCTTTGAAGGCTGATTTGCAAAGGAGCAGCCTGCAATGAGACTTCTACAGGCTGATCTGGGGCGGAACAGCAGCAGAGAACAGCGGCCAACAAAAGGGTTTTCTGAAACTGATCTGCTAATCCAACGAGGACAGCAACCAGCAAAGCAGACTGAGCTATGTTGTTGTGAATTCTTGACACCATCATGCAGACTGAACTTTAATCTTACTGTCATAAACAAGTAATCTGTTTTACAGTGTGCTTGTCATCACAGTCCCTGAAGTGTCTAAACCCAAGTCAAGAATTTATTTGTAAACCTGAACACAGTGAATTTTCTTCGTAATGGTTTGGTGTACCATCATTTAAGGTTACTATAGTTTTGCATAATGTTGCTGATATCCAGGTTATCTGCATTTCAGGTTACAATGACATTTCTATTGATATAATAGACCATCATATAATTTCATCACCACCAACAAACACACATGATGAAGTAATTATTTAATTGGATTTGTGAAGATAATGTACAAACTAGGTGCAAGGAACTTA